AAAACACACACACACACACACACACACACACACACACAAACCACAGAAACATAACCCCCCAGTCCAAACCCACCCTCCAAAACCCACACAGAAAAGTTTTTTTTTTAAAAAAAAAGGACTTACCAGTCCGAAGCCTCCCAGCGCTCTGCTGGCTCCGTGCGGCCGGGGGCGAGCAGCCAGGGGCCCAGACTGCTCTAGCCTCCCAGCCCTCCACTCGTTCCGCACGGCGGGGGCGAGCGGCCAGGCGCCCAGGCTGTCTAGCCTCCCGGCCCTCCGCTGCCTTTGGAACTTTCAAAGGGCTTCCTCTGATGTCGGGGAAAGCCCTTTGAAACCTCTGAAGGCAACGATCGCGGCGGCGAGGACCCCCAGGGAGGTCTCCCATGGTGGCGTGCAAGCCCTGGGAGACCTCCCTGGGGGTCCCCGCCACCGCGATGGGCAGCTTTGGAGCTCTCTGAAGCAAAAAAGGCAGGGAGAAAGTGCAGGAAGTTCGAACTTCACGCGCTTTCTCCCTGCCTTTTTGGCTTCAGAGGTTTCAGAAGGCTTCCTCCGATATCAGAGGAAGCCTTTTGAAAGCTCCAAAGGCAGGGAGGAAGGGCAGGAAATTCAAATTTCCCGTCCTTTCTCCCTGCCTTTTGGGTTCGTAACCCGATCTGCGTTCGCAAGTAGGGTTTACTACTTGCGACGAGATCGGGTTTGTAACCCGAATTGTTCGTAACTAGGGCCGTTCGTAACTCGAGGGCCCACTGTATATGCTATCATTGTATCCTCTCCACAGGCAGACAGAATAATGCCATCCACTGTGAAAAGCTAGCATAGAATTCTTTTGAAGCCAAAACTGAACACACACTGGGAAAAAGAGGCCTTTTTAAAATAGTGTATTAGTCAATAAATTTCAAACATCCAATGTTTTCAAATAAAGAGCTTGGTCAGCAGTAACACAGTGCTATACTGAGCCTATGGATATTATCAATAGCATATTATTAAGAACACATCTGTGAACTTAGCTGATGTATGCAAGAAAACAACCTTAGGGAGGCATCAAAACATTTAGGTTAGAAAAACTAAAAGCTGACCCATGGTTATTTCAGCATGGTTAGCATTATGAGCCCTGTGTTTTCTCTTTCTTCTGACACACACTCCCCCCCACAAAAAAAATGACTGGGGTTACATCCAGTGCTACAGTCCTTTCCACCACCACTTCTCTCCATGGCACCCTATAAACCAGATCTAGAAGTTTTCCTAGCTCTCTACAGTGGGTATTTGGCGCTTGTAGTCAGGGCAGGAATAGGAATCAGGAATCCTTCTGTTGGTAGAAGCTGTTACATCAATACCGTGTTTCCTCGAAAATAAGACAGTGTCTTATATTAATTTTTGCTCCAAAAATCCCAGTAGGGCTTATTTTCAGGGGATGTTTTATTTTACAGTCTTATCATCTTCTGGTTGCTGCATAATGGTGGAGGGTGAGGTTTCACTTAACTAGGGCTTACTTTTGGTGTAGGGCTTATATTACAAGCATCTTGAAAAATCATACTAGGGCTTATTTTCAGGCTAGATCTTATTTTCAAGGAAACAGGGTAGTATCTGTGATTTCCTAGAATATTTACCTTTTGCAGGCACTCCAGCACTTTGGACATATATTCTTCCTGACATTTGTAAGGCTGAAATGGAAAATCCACAGTGATGCCGTTTAGTTGTATTTTGGGCATATTTCATCTGACATGTCAGGACTCCAGAACCTGAAATCAAGAGTATTCTTCCATAAGAAAATGGCTTTAAAAAAAAAATACCAACGAAGATACTGTTCTCAAACTTCCTCTCGCAATTCCTACTTGGGAGTCTGATACTTCTTGAAGAATTCAAACCTTCCTTTGTTAAAAAGAAAGAAACCCATTATGTCTTGTAGATTGTAACCAAACCCTTGAAATGGCATTTTTGGGACACTAAATCTCCCAGAACCCCTCAAGCCCACAGTTTTGTCTGAGCATTTTGAAGGATTAAAGCTGTTTTTCTGACCTCAATCAATTTGTTGTTGTTGTATCTATTCCTTGTACATATCTTCTGGTAGGCTAAAAGAAGGTGGATCTAAACTTAGATGTCATGGTCATACACAAAACTGACCTCCTATTGGGACACAAGGTCAACAGAAAACCCACCTACACAGACCGGTACCTATACAAAAAAACACGCCAAAAAAACAGGCATAATCAAAACACTGGTAGACCGTGCAAATCGGAACTCAATTTCTCAGCACTGAACTCAATCATCTGAATTGGGCCCTACAGGCAAATG